AATATTACAAGTTAATGAGTGGAGATTCAATACTAAGCACTATAATTTGGAAAGAATTCCATTAAATCTGTTAGCCCTTATGCGGAATGAATTAGTTGCCCCTAAGGCTCATTAAAGTCAACAGGACTATTTCATCACAACTTTCTTCAATCCTATTCATTTCTATGAAATTTAAACAAAACTGCCATTTTTTTGATCAATAATGATGGCTTCAGGATTAAGAGGTTAGGACACAGATTTTACTCTGTGACAATAGTGATGGTTTTCTTTTTCACTTTCAAATACTAATTAACCTTTCACATTTTACTTTGAAATGACCATATTTTAATCTTGTATTGGCATTGAAGCATAAATTGTAGGCAGAAAAAAATGTGTTATTCTCATCAATCATTGTAGAGAATATAGGAGATGGCCTTGAGGAATAGAAGGAAGATTCATTGCCAAGGCAACAATCAGATAGATGTGACTTGAGCCCAGGTCAAGAGGGTAGTTTATGAAAACACCTCATACAGCAAGTCACATAAAGATAAGATGAGGAAAGTTGAAACATTCAGATTTGAAGGACATAACTCTTCTAAAAAGGACTTTAGGTATACACTGTCTATTTCTTAGTTTGGTCTCCCTTATAGAGCTGTCATTTGCCTTATGTAAAACCACAAGAACCAACTCTTTTCATTTTCTACATAAATGACCTCTATGATCATATCAAGAGCAACTGCATTCTCTTTGCTGATGATGTAAAGCTATTCAACACCACAGACAATACTGCTACCCTTCAAAAAGACCTTGACTATGTATCACAATGGTCAAACAAATGGCAACTTCAAATCTCAACAAATAAATGCTCTGTCTTATATATTGGCAGAAAAAAATCAGAAAATAAAATACAAGCTAAATAGTCAAGACCTTGTTGATGATCCAAACTCTGTCAAGGATCTTGGAGTACTCATCTCAAATGACCTAAGTGCTAGAGCCCACTGTAACTACATAGCCAAAAAGGCATTAAGAGTTGTTAACCTAATCTTACGTGGCTTTTTCTCTGGTAATATTACACTAATAACTAGAGCATACAAAACATTTGCTAGACCGATACTCGAATACAGCTCATCAGTCTGGAACCCACATTACGTATCTGATATTAGCACAGTTGAGAAAGTCCAGAAATATTTCACAAGAAGAGTTCTCCACTCCTCTACTCGTTGCAGAATACTTTATGCCACCAGACTTGAAATTCTAGACCTAGAAAACCTAGAACTATGCCGCCTTCGGTCTGATCTAAGTATAGTATATAAAATCATACATTGCAATGTCCTACCTATCAATGAATACTTCAACCTCAACCATAATAATACTAGAGCACACAATAGATACAAACTCAAGGTTAACCGCACCAAACTTGATTGCAGGAAATACGACTTCAGCAACAGAGTGGTCAATGTCTGGAATACTCTACCTGACTCTGTAGTTTCCTCCCCAAACCCCAAAAATTTTAACCTTAGACTGTCTACTATTGACCTCACCCCTTTCCTAAGAGGTCTGTAGGGGGCGTGCATAAGTGCACCAACATGCCTACCATCCCTGTCCTATTGTTTCTTTTATTTTTCTTATATGTATCCATGTATTCATAACTGTTTTTTTTACTTATACCTATTATCTTGCAAGCAAATGACAAATAAATAAATAAATAAATAAAATACTGCTTATCAATATACCTGCAGATCTATGAGCCCAATAAGGAAGACCAGACTTAAGAAACCAAAGACATATAAGTCAGAACTATTTTTATTATAGCTATTTATTACAACTATTATGTATTAGTTATATTAAGAGGATCTCGTTAAGTCTGAGGGTCCTTTCCCCTCCATTTTATCTTCATGTAAAATATAGAGGGTGTGTCTAATACATTTTCTCAACTTAGTTTTTTAACATATGGTTCACACCCCTCTTATCTTACTGTTGTCTTATAGCAGGTCTTCCTCCTCCTCTTCCAGTCCTCTATAAGATCAGTCTAAAAGTTGGGTGAGCCCAACTTTAGGCAGAGTAAGATACTCTAGGCAGAAGATAGCGGGTATCCTAAAAAACAAATGAAATGTTTGGGGAACAATTTAATGCATGCCTTGTGATTTACTTGCTCCTTAATCCCGATAGCCACAAACAGCTTTCCATGATTCCTGAACAAAAGTGAACATGTGCTATAGTTTTTAATGCATCAAGAGTAGAGTTTTGATGAGAGATGATGCTTTCTTTTTATTTGCAATAACCGTTGAAAAATGATCAAGTAGTCCAAATAATGCTTTTGTCATGTTTTCCCTCAATGTTTGGGTGTATAGCTATGCAAATTAATTGTAGAAATTTACCATTTATTCCCAGAGAATAATTTTAACATCTCAGGTAAGATGGGTAAACCGCTCCCTATTCCAAGGGGGATCTTGCCCTATGTAAAATTGGGAATCCACTAACAGAGTAGAACTGAATTTAGATTTATTTTTTTGAGTCTAGAAGATGTACAGCTTAACGTAGCAGAGCTTTAGTGGGTATTTAGAAAGAGGGACAAATTGTGCCCCTATCAATATTCTGCTGAAAATAGGGACCGAGAATCCTATACACAGATGTGTCCTCTTTTGTTGGTCAGGTAAGGAAAAGGGTTTCCAGCACAAAAGGTTTCTGGCACCAGCCCGGATTACTGCAGTTCTCCTCCACGATGCTGTTGGTTTTGCTGTCCTGAGCTAATTAACTTTGCTGAACCAGCACCTGCTCTGGGGAAATACTGCAATTATTGCCTTTTGGCATTTCTTCTTGAGTTACAAGGCAGTTAGTTCCCTTTTGGTGAAATCTTTTCTCCTCATCATGTCTTCTTAAATCTCCTCTTCCCTGGGGGACTCCAGGCAATATCTAGCAGAGATGTTGCTTTGCCTCCCCCCTCCCCAATAATTACAGCTGTGATTTGTGAAGCAACACTCAGCCAGGTAAGGAAGACAGATGGGAGAAGCTGAAGGATGGCTTATTGCACAGAATGCAACGATCAGGATGGCAGCATCAAGCTCTTAGACAGACTTGGATTTCATGTTCCTTATTACTATTAGGGTGTTACTAGGGTATTGTAAACAGAATTTTGAAATCCCGCCTAAGTAATTCTCCTGAACAATTTAAACCTAGTGCAATTAAAATAGAATTCGTATGTTTTTTGTATTGCTTCTTCCCCTGGATCCAATAAATCTTCTTCTGTAAGAGTCCATTTCCTATCTGAACAATCCTGGTGCCTCTTCTGGCTCGGTGGACTTCTAATAGTGCAATCCATAGATTGGGGGTGAATTCTTTTCAGCCTTTTAGACACAGACAAGTAATTGTATGAGTCAACTGTAATTTTAAGACAGAAAGGTCTTCCACAGTATTTTAATGCCATGAAATCATACCTCCAAATTATTAATAAATTTAAGCATCTTGTTATAATGGTTTTAATGTTCTAGTTTTTTTTTTAATGTAAAGCTTAATGCAAAATATCAAAAAGACCAAAGTTAGTGGCTGTTAAATGTTTAGCAAAGTGTTACTATTCTATGACTAATATTTGACAATTTATTTTTGCCTATAATTTTATTCAAGAGCAGGTTTTATCATTTTGCTGTTTATATCAAAGCAACAGTTGCCTACATTATACTTGCTACTTTAAACTTGGAAAACAAAACATTAGGACAAGGAGATGGGAATTGTTTATTGCTATTCCCTTTTTCTATAAGTATCTTTAGGATAATCGGTGTACATTCTTTTCACTAAAAAAATCTGGATTTCAATTATTTTCCCTGTAGTCTGTTCAATAGGGATCTCCAGGAAGCTATTCCTAGTCATCAGATATTTCCAGTCTTATTTATAACGTAAGAGACACAGCGGCACAGTGGTTAGAATGCAGTTCTGCAGGCTACTTCTGCTGACTGCCGTCTGTCTGCAATTTGGCAGTTTGGATCTCACCAGGCTCAAGTTGACTCAGCCTGCCATCCTTCCGAGGTTGGTAAAATGTGGACCCAGATTGTTGGGGGCAATATGCTGACTCTGTAGTGTAAACCACTTAGAGAGGGCTGTAAAGCACTATGAAACAGTATACAAGTCTAAGTGTTATTGTAATTTTCACAGATAAAGCAAGAGACCTGAGGAAGGATCTGCAGATCTTAACATCCAGGTATTCCCTCAAGAAGTCCCAATACATGTTATAAGAGGAGGGTGAATGGAGGAAACAAAATTAAAGATACCTTTGGACCCCATTTCACAAGGTTATTAGCAGGACACATCTTCTTTTGAACCGTTTTGTTTTTAATGCCCATAGTCCTGCAATGTTGATGCAACCATGCTTTGCTAGTTAGTATCATGTGCTAGACTGCCCACTTGTATCCTCAACATATTTTGATGAACAGTTATTTCTCCAGAAACTCGCTTTTCTTTCAGACCATTCATAGTATTCCATATCTGTTAGATTAAAATGCAGTTGTCAAACAAAAGCTATAGGAATCTAGAAAAGGAAACAGTTTATTGAAAAGAAGATGGAAAGAGAGGCACTGCAAAATTACAGGAAAAATTGTGTTAGCAGAGAGTTATCTTCAAAAGAGCTCAACCATGGAAGATAAAACTCTATTCCTCCAGACCTCATGCTGTGGATCTTGTACTGTAGTGCAAAATTCCCAATAAAACTTGTGTCCTGCACTTTTCTACAACTATAGGAGAAACAATGACAAATTTTAATACTACCAGGAAACAATAAATTTGACTGACTTGTAATTGTTGCTCACTCATGTTCTTGAAACTGCTACAGGTAAAACTACAAGTATATTTTTCTGTATGTCTAGTTTATAACACTGGCCCCTTTTCCTAATGGCACTAACTATAAATTAAAAAGAAGAAAAAAACACCCTAATGCTTGAAAATAAGAAATTGCTTCTATGGATTTCTATTTGTCTCCACATACATTCATGCGTTAATTATACAATTTGAGAAAATAATCTCTTTAAAAAAAAAAAAAAGCACAATTTTTGGCATCACACTGGGAAACATGCAGAGAAGACAAAATTTAAAAAGACAAACTTCAGTGCATCATTTTTCAGAATGAAGCAGTACTTAATGTTCTGCAATTATTACATTCATAGTACAGGACAATTCCCTTCCCAATGTATGTTTCTTCAGACTGTTTTGCTTGCATTGTTGTAGCTTTTCCAAGATCTTTGGATTGTAAAATCTATGCTTGTCATATAGGAAATTGAATTGCAATGCTAGATGTTTTATAGTCTTCAGAGTAAAGCATAGCAAAAAGAGGAGTCTGGGTTTATTGTTCAATTTCAAGGCTATCCATCTTCAAGTCAGGTGGTTTAAAGCTGATCACTTCTTCATATGTTAGTTCTTCAAAAAAAAAAGAGCAAAGGTAAAGGAGAAAGTGAAACATTTTAATATGAAATATTAGCAGTTAAAAAGCTATAGGGCATGAAAACTATGAACAAAACCCACACACTTGAAAAGATTATATGAGAAATGCTTACTTCTTGCTATAGTATGAACATTTTGTTTGGCTTAATTTACTTTGTGTTACAGCTCAGATTTGTTATTTTCTATACAGATTCTGTTTATTACCAGTTTCATGTAAGTTTATGAACACACTGTTGCTTTCACATAAAATTACTTCAAGGAATAGAAATACATGAAAACTGCAGGAAATAAATTGGAAGGCTGCAACTTAGAAGTTAGGGGAAGGACATTAGGTTGATGTATGGCCTCCTCTTCATGTAATTGTCCATACAAGAATGTCTTGGTGATGGTGCATATGGCCCAAAATATCGCTTTTGAATAGCTAGAAAAACTTCCATTATTGTACTGAGCCAAACTTTGTTCCAAGGAAACAAACACGAAACAGGTAACAGCAAAACCTTTTAATGATTCTTTACGAATTCCGTTCCTTCACGGTTAAAAGGCTGTTTCAAATTAATTGTCTCTGATAAGAATGAGCCTTGCCAAGGTTGTGCAAGGCTGCCAAGAACACTAGTTAAAGTTATTAAGAAATATTTCAAACATAAAGAGTTTCCAAACACCAACCAAGATATTTGGAATGTCCACAAGGCTTGAGTGCAAAAACTTATTTGCTTCCTGCAAAGAACTCCGGTTTCTCAGCTGGCTTTTATCTCTTAAGGGAGGGGCTATTACCTTACAGCCTTACTCCCAAGTCACCTGTGCTGCTGCAGCTGCTCTTTCCTTCAAGCAGCCCTGCACGCGCGCACACTGGGCACAGGCTCCTCGGGGACCTCTTCATCACTGCTGCCAGCCTCCACAATCTCCGAAGGCAGCATTCTACTCCCTGATGGTCCTGGCCCCATCCCTGCATCACACACAAGCCCCTCATCCAAGTTCTCGCTCTCCAAGATCTCAGCTGTCCGCACCTGCTGCTAGCGAACCACAATAATTATTGAGTATTTAATTCTACATGAAAGTCTGATCTGGAATTAATTTCTCCAAGCCATGTTTGTCTGGACACACCACGATGCAGCTAGGATTGGAGGATGTGTAATTAGTGAACTCTTTTTTTAGAAGACTTCTACCTTGCTTTTCAAAAGCATTATTTGATAATCTGTTGATTATGAGGGCGGCTGCAAACGAGAGGCTGGGTTAATGTAGGGAAACTATCCATGTACCAACCATACTCTACATTAGTTTGTTTTCCAGGGTATGAGTCAACTCTAGAATATCACTCAATTGTCATAGAAATCTTGACTTGGGATTAAATATACATATTGAAACTGCCTAGTTGAGGGTGACTTGGAGTCTAACACCTGCCATAACAACCACAAACCTGGTACAACTGCACCTGTCCAGTACATATCCAGGACATATACTGGATCCCACCACTGGAACTTCAAATATCAACAAAACCAATGACCTGTTTTGTTTTGTTTTTGTATAGGGCTTTAGTTCAAATAAATAAAATGGAATCATAGAGGCTTTTAAAAAATAGTAATAACCCCTTACTTTTTAAAGTCTGGCTTCTTAGAAGTTGACAAAGAAATAAATACCCTTTAAAATTATTGAAAGAAAAGTTCTGTGTGAGACGTCATGGACACAATTTTTTAGCATTTGGAAGCATGAAAGCATATGTGTTTAATGTTGCAATCAATAAATGTGCTTAAGGTTAATGAAAAAAATTGAACAGCCTAGTATCCATGTGTTAGCCATATCCACCAATTCTTAAAACAAGAATTTTCCACATTGTTCTAGCCTTTTCCTGCATTTTTTTAAAGGAAGGAAAACATTACTGGAAAGAATTTCCTGAAGCTTGTTAAAAGGCACACCAGACGTTATGAAACAAAGTAATTTCCTTAATCTATTCATATGCTCTTGCAACAGTTTTGATGAAAATTCAGTGGGGAATTACTGTAGACATGTGCGCACTAATCGTTGCCAGTACTAAACCAGGATGAAATGGCACATGCTGGTATGAAGGTCGTCAGCAGGCGGGGCATCTTTATGTTTCTAAAAGTTATTTCAACAGCAAATCAAGAGAATGGAGGAGTTAAAGTTACTGTACCATATCTTGTCAGTGAGCATCCAGTCAGAAGAGAGCTGGAAGGAACCTTCCAACCCCCTTCTCAAAGGAGACCCTATACCATTTCAGACATGTGACTGTCCAGTGATGAAGCACCTTCAACTTCTGATGGCAAGCTATTCCGCTGGTTAATTGTTCTGTTCGGAAGTTTCTTCTTAATTCCAAGTTGCTTCTCTCCTTGATTAGTTTCCATCCATTGTTTCTTTTGTCCTCCGGTGCTTTGAACAATAAGTTGACTCCATCCTGTTTGTGGGAACCTCTCAAATTCTTGAATTCTGCTATCATGTCCCACCCCACTTCATCTTTTCTCTCGAGTAGCCAAACCCAAATCCTGCAACCATTCTTCATATGTTTTTGTCTTCAGGCCTTTAATCATCTTAGTTCTTCTTTGTCCTTTTTCAAAAGTGTCATTTTTTGTAACATAGTGACCAAAACGAATCAGAACATTTCAGGTGTGGCCTAAGGCTTTAATAAAGTGGTACTAATACTTCACGTGATTTCGCTTCTATGCCTCTGTTTATACAACCAAGGATTGTATTAGCTTTTTGGGCTGCTGCCGCACACTCCTGGCTCATATTTAAGTGATTGTCCACTGGGTCCCTCTCAGTTACTGTTTTTGAGCCAGGTTTTGCCTGATCTGTACTTGTACCTTTGGTTTTCCTGCGTAAGCGTAAAACCTTGCTTTTCTCCACATAAATTTCATTTTGTTGGATAGGGCAAATTGTTCAAAACTGTCAAGATCTTTTTGGATCCTGAGCTTGTCTTCTGGGGTGTTGGCTATTCCTACCAGCTTAGTATCATCTGCAAATTTGATGAGTTCTCCTTCTATTCCCTCATTTAAGTCATTTATGAAGATATTGAAGAGTACGGGGCCTAAGATGGAACCTTGCTTACTTCCCTCCATGTAGATGTAGTACCATTAAGGATGACTTGTTGTGTATGGTTTGTCAGCCAGTCACAAATCCATCTGGTGATGATGTTGTCTATTCCACATTTTTCTAGCTTACCATGAAATACTTTGTGGTCTACCATGTCAGATGCTTTAATGAAATCTAAGATACTATGTCCACAGCATTCGCTGGTCTATTGATTTACTCAGTTTATCAAAGAATGAAATAGGATTGGGTTTGGCGTGATCTGTTTTTAACAAATCCAAGCTGGCTTTTAGTTATAACTTTATTTGTTTTTAGACGTTTGTAGATCTGTTTTTTGATTATCCTTTCCAGCATCTTCCCAGGTATTACTGTTAAGTTGTTTGGTCTGTAGTTTCCTGGGTCTGTTTTTCCCCCCTCTTTTGAAGATGGAAACCACAGCAGCTCTTTTCCAATCCTGAGGTAATTTCCCGGTGTTCCAGGATTTTTAAAAGATATGGTACAATGATTCCGACATAACATTTGCCAACTCCTTTAGAACTCTGGGATATAATCCATCAGATCGTGGTGATTTATATTCGTCAAGATCATATAGGTGTTCTCTAACCATTTTCTTGCTTATTTTAATTTTTGTTTCTAGTCTGTCTTTTACAATTATGTTTTTGGTAGGTTGATTTATACTTTCTTTTTTCATGAAGACTAATGCAAAGAATGAATTAAGCAGTTCTGCTTTATCTCTGCTGCCTGTTGTTTTCTTGCCATCTTTCTCTTAAGTGGACCTACTGTTTTCCTTGTCTTTTTCCTTGTTATTTATATGCTGAAAGAAACTTTTTTTTATCATTATCTTTGACTTTTGTTGCAAGTCTTAGTTTATTCTAAGCTTTTGCTTTCCTGACTTCATCTTTGCAGATTCAGGCTATATGCTGATATAAACTCTGATATAACTCTGCCTTAGTTATATGTCCCTATTTTCATTTTTTTGTCCATTTTTTCCCCACATGAATAGTAAATGGCACCAAAGACATACAGAGAACTACCAGATACTAGATATTCTAGGCTATCGTCAAGTTCTTGCCTTGAGTTTGCACTCCAGATATGTCCTAGCTGAAACAATATTTGCAACCTGGCACTGAAGATTTCTTTTAACCTCAAATACGTTTAACGTCCGAATTATATCTTAAAATTATATATATGAGAGGCAGTCTGGTAAAGTGGTTCATGTGTTGACCTGGAACTCAGAAGACTTGCATTCTAGCTCACCTGCATTCATGGAAGCTCATTTGGTGATTTTTGAGCTGGTTAGCCCAACCTGGTTAGTCCAACCTATTGTTATTATGGGGAAAACCAGAAGGATTGGAAAGCTATGTACATTTTCCTGAGCTTCTGCACAAACATCTAATTAGGCCATCCATAAAAGTGTGTGATGGGAATATGTCTTGTAAAATAAGAAATAAAAATAAATCAAATAAGTCTCTAAAATAAAAAAGGGGATTATGGGCAATTTAACCCTTCATTGATATTTGACTCTGCTACTTAGGCTGCGTGGACTCACTTTCTGTAAATGTATCTTTGTGATACTTAATAATGCTTAGTATGTGTTATAAGCATTTATAACATTCACGCTCCAAGAAAATACTTTCTTACCTTTCCATTCATCTATAACCCTTTCTTTATTTTCTATTGATTCATCATACACCTCTGCTTCTGGTTCATCCTCAGGATCATGATACTGAGCAAAATAAGGATGTGCAAGTGCTTCGGAGGCCGTTATTCTTTTGTCACTGTCCAGGATGAGCATCTTCTCAAGAAGATCCACAGCTAGATACCAAAAATTGAAGTAATATAAAGCAGCTGATCCATTTTAAATTAACCATTAAGAAAGTCTACATATTTTCAATTCCACTGCCAAAATTTCCAACCTAATCTCAGGCAGCAATACTTGAGATACAAATTATGTGTAACAATTTATTTCCAATAGAAAAGAATATATAGTTAGGGATGAACTGTGGATCTTTGGCACTCTCTGCCTGCCGTTTGCTTGCTTCCCTTGCAGATATTTCATTATTTATGTAACCCAGTGCTTATTTTGTGAATGAGCAAGACCCTTGCAGGGTACCTGTTTTGTGATATATCCACATTATGTTCTCAAGACTCAAAATTCCAAAAGCAGCTACACTCCCAAAATGTTTGGGAACCTTGACAATAAAGGATTCACTGTTTACATAATAATAGTTTGCAAATTACGACCAAATTTTTTATTCCTATGCCTATCTATCTATCTATCTATCTATCTATCTCTTTTTTCTCATATACCTCTCCTACAGAATATTTATATTAAAAGTAATCAATACAATGAAAAAGAAATAATCCTTAGTTTATAAATAAAATGGTCTGAAGGAGTAATTCATCTGGAGTATGTCTATACCCAATGCAATTTTTATAACCAGTCTCAGTATTAAATGGAAGATATTTGGAAATTTGTAGTAATGGTTTGTTTTCCATTTAAAGTGATTATTCTTCCTAGAATAGTACCGTGTTTCTCACAAAATAAGGCCGAGCCTTTTTTTTTTTTGACCCCTGAAAAAATGGCTGGGCCATCTTTTCAAGGGTGACTTAATTCCCCCCCTTGTATCCTCGGGCGGGTGGGTGGCAACGGCTTGGATGTTGACCTCGGCGTTGGTGGGGCACTTCGTATTGGGAGACCTTCCGCCACCGTTGCTTTCCCTTCTCCCCTGCTGCCACGAGCAATGCTGCAGCATTTGGTGCAGCCACGCACAGCCAGCCAGGGCTCCTCCATGCAACCGGAGCCTGGCGGAGACACTTGGCTTCAGGCGCTCCTGTCGCCGCCTTCCCTTCGCCTTCCCTTTGCTTGGCAGGCGGACGCGCACCCATGGCTCGCTTTCCCAGCTCTGCTCAACCTGCGTGGCCCTGGCGGGATGAGTGGAAGGTCCGGCGGGGAGGTGCTTGCTGCCTTGGTGAGAGCTCTGCCGCCGGACAGGAGGGCCCACCTGTCAGCTGTGCTGGATGCCCCAGGCGAAGCTCTTTGCGCTCTGCCCAGCGCCAGGCAGGGATGGCGGCTGGGCGCTTCTCCCGGGGTGGGCCGATCCTGTGCTGTGGCCCCGGGAGATTCGCCTCCCCACATGGGGTTGGGCTGCCCTCTCGGGCAGGGGAGTCTTTGTCGCACTGGTAGTAGGGCATCATTTTTAAAAGAATTGGCTTTGCCTTTGAAGGCGAAGGGAAGGCGGTGACAGGAGCGCCTGAAGCCGAGTGTCTCCGCTGGGCTCTGGTTGCAGGGAGGAGCCCTGGCTGGCCACGCGTGGCTGTGCCAAATGCCGTGGCGTTGCTGTAAATGCCGCGGCATCACGGGGAGAAGGGAAAGCAACGGTGGCGGAAGGTCTCCCGATATAAAGTGCCCCACCAACGCCAAAGTCAACGCAGGCAGCACCATATCCGGGTATGCAACAAAAGTACTTCCTAACGGCAACCCCCCCGCCATTCCTCCCCATTTTGCATGTTTAATATAGGCCTTAATTTTGGGGGAGGGGCTTAATTTGATTTTATGCCTATAAAGCATGCTGGGACTTCCTATTGGGGGAGGCGGTATTGTTGGAGAAACACGGTAGTGAATAATAAATATTTACCTAATGGGTTTGCTCCACGAAATACTACTTTCAGATCCTGTTGAGGCATGTATGGTAGAGATTCTATATATTTTCTGGCCTGCAAACGTGAAATTGCATAAACATACATAAATTAAAAGTTTGAGATTAAATGGCTTACCCCTGAAAATATGACTTGTAACTGCACTCAGTTATAACCAAATGTCCCCAAATATTTATAAAATGTACAAATTATATAGTAGAATGAGAAACAGAAGATGAAGGTATCTTTCATCATTCTTTTCGTTTATCTTGCTGCTCAATGTAGATTTTAATTAGACAGAATAAAATTCCTGAGCTTCCTAATCTCTTTAATTATATGTACATCTGTAAAAAAGACCAAGGACAGATATGATTATAGAAAAGATGCCATAATTTTCTACTCCAATAAGATCCACACAAGCTGCACATTGTAACTATCATTTAATAGAGACCACCACTATAAAGGTCCAAGGAGCCTTTCAAGACTAGAAAGATCAAAATGCCATTCTTTCTATAGTGCCAAAAACTATAGAGATTTTTTGGGGGGGCATGTTAGGAAATGTTTGGCAGAATTCAGATGAAAAGTACTATTCTTCTTAAAGATGTAATTTCTACAGGAAGTCTTTTTTTGTTTTTGTTTTAATGTTAATTATATGGATCTTGTTTTTGTTTATTATATGGATCTCTGTTTCCTTGAAATATATACATCTGAAGCATATTTAAAGACAAATGTTGGCAAAGGTTAGCTGCTATATTTCTTGTGGTCATCTCCCTTTAGTGTAATTTATAGCAAAATATGGTGATTTTAAGGTTGGAAATAATGTCTCTTGGCAGATGAAAGCATCTTACTATTTACTTCCATTGTTTCACTTGCATAGAACTCTAATCTAGTTTCTTATATAGAAACAAGAGGCCGTTTGTTGGCCTACATTGACTTCTAACCTGTTGGAAGATCTCTGCTGAAGAGCAAACCACTTGCCAAATATAAGGCTACACCAAACTTCTTGTACTTTGCTTATTGTCACATCTCTTCCCTAAGAGTGCTTCTCCATAAATATTTGCTTCAGCAATTGGTTAATTATGTTGACTAGAAATCAAATGTTTTTTTATTGATTGTTTGATACTCAGAAACCCACAATGTAGTCATGTTCAAAACACCAATTCTTTGGAGGTTGCGTTTTTGAAAAAAAATAATAATAAGATCACTCATATCTGAAAATCAACTTGATAAAAACATGCAACTGAAAAGAACATTGTCAGAAAATCAGTGTCAGTCATGTAACAGATTAAATCAGGGGTGTCCAACCTTGGCAACTTTAAGACTTGTGGACTTCAACTCCCAGAATTCCTCAGCCAGCAAAGCTGGCTGAGGAATTCTGGGAGTTGAAGTCCACAAGTCTTAAAGTTGCCCAGGTTGGACACCCCTGGATTAAATGAAAAATTAATTATGATCCTATTAATAAATCATATTTACATGTTCTGATGATATTTTTTTGAGAAGTTCAGAACTAGGTGTACCAACTACTTCCATTATTCGTTTCAGCTGGTCGATATCTGTAACAGTTTAAGAAAACTACAAGAAAGGTAGGAAAGATAGCAAAGGAGATATATGCACATATAAACTGCCCAACGCACACATAGTTCTTTTGTTCTGCTATCTAAAATAGAAAGGAGAATAAAAAGATGATGTACAGAGATGGATACTTCTATCAACAAATTGGCCCGGATCATAAATAAGTTTTAAAACCATTGTTGCTGATCAAGCCAGATGATTCCTACATATCATAAAACTACAATAGGTAGGTTCACGTATCATATTAACCCATGCAAACAAGCCAATGCAGAACAATTATGTGTCTTTCTCTTCAAAAATGAGATGGTATAATGGCCCAAACCAAGGGAATACCTTATGTTGGCCATTGAAAGGAACCATATTTTCTAATGTTATATAAATATCCTATGTTCCCTTCATTGTGAATGAAATTATTTTCTGTTCAGGCTTTTGAATCAGCGTTATCTTGTAACACCAGTCTCTAAAATCCATGTAGCCTTGAAATTAAGGTGGGAAGTGTGAAAATCACCAGGTCTTGTTATTCAAAAACTATTACATCACATCACAAACTATTTGCCCAGTTCCTTAATTTGCTTCAAGGGCAGCTTCTTATAAGAGCCACCATTAGCTTTCAGGCTTACCAAACAAATTACCCAGTAGCTTTGGCCTTCAACAGCAACTCACAAACTACTGGCAGTTGTAAGCTGTGTTTGTTTGCTGGTCATTAGTTAAATGAGACATACAAGAACAAAATTCAGTCAGTCTACTGCAGCTTAATGACACATTATGTTCTGAGCCTTTATGGCTATTACCGGCTGTGAAAAACAGTCACTTTAGCTATTTGTTACACGTTTGCTATAGCAATTTTGCTTAATGTCTAATATTGCCTTAAAAGCTTTAAGTGCAAAGCAAGATCTGCAGCCTGTTACCATGTTTGTTGGGTCGGGGAGTGGGGTGGGGGTTGTAAGAAGAAGGATACAGTCATTTCCTGGAAAAAGAGCCTTCCCTTTCAGCAGCTCTGCCATGATGCATCCAACTGACCAAATATCAACTGCCAAGACATAAATACACAAGTCAAGACATTCTGTATAATCCAAGACCTTACTATATCTATCTATCTATCTATCTATCTATCTATCTATCTATCTATCCATCCATCCATCCATCCATCCATCCATCCATCCATCCATCCATCCATCGATCCACACACACTGTCATGCCCCTGTCAGAGTCTGAATCCGAGGAGGAAGCCAAACAGCTGACAGGGAATGGGAGTGTGGCTCTGTTGGCTGTGGAGGAAACTGGGAAAGGGCAAAGTCCAGCTGGGCAGAGCAGGGGAGAGATAGAACAAGGGAGAGGAAGTTCAGAGGAAGACCCAGGCCCACCCCCTCTTCATCCTAAGGCACACAGGGAGGAACAGAGAAGAGAGCAACATGGGTTGTGTGGCTTATGGGGAAGGAAAGGGCCCTGATTACCTTCATTAGCTACAGCTGGGAACATAGTTTATAAGAAAGGCAGACTGTGTGCGGCAGGCTGCTGGGAGCAAACGTGACTTTATCTTGTGCTGTCATTGCTTATCTATGTTCCTGGTGTCTTCCCAACCGTGTGAGTTTTGCCGTGCCTTCAAGTCTGAAATTCTTGCTCCTGCCCTGCCAAACTAATTACTTCAGTTTGGCTTGATTGGACTTTAATTTAGTTTGTGTTGACCATGTTTTGGACTTAATTTTCTGCAGTCAAAAGCTGTTCCTGAGTTTTTCTCCAGCCAGAAGGTAACCAGGACATTGGGGGCAAAGTGGGAAATAATAAAGGGATTCTTATTGATTATTTGACTGTGTGCCTTTGTGCCATGCCCCGGGTCATCACACACACACACACACACACACACCATAGTACATATCAGTAAGAAATAATATTTACTTTACCTGTCTGATTATAATGCATCCAGTTTAACATGATTTCTGGGGCTCTGTACCATCGGGTTGCCACATAGCCTGTCATTTCATCATCAGTTTGCCGGGCTAAGCCAAAGTCTAAAATCTACATAATCATGAATAAAGTTTCCTATTATTTTAGTTATATTAAATGTTCCCACTCCTTTTTATTCTGATTATTGTAACTCATTAAAAACTGCATTGACAAGACAACCAAACCAGAGGGCCAATTTGGTACAGGATTAGGTATTGGATTAGAAACCAAGAGTCCGTGAGTTCCAGTCCTCCCATAGGCCAACTGGGTGACTCTTTTCCAGTAACTCCTCCTCAGCCCAACCCACAAATTCATAGGTTTATTGTTGTTGGGGAAACTGGCAGCTGCTTTTGTACATTCCTTGAATTATACAAAACAAAGAGAGGATATAATTATAATCTTTATCATCTCATGATTCAAATCCAGGGAAATGGAAAAAAAAAACAGTAGTTGTTCAAACAAAGTCCTTATGCCTTTAAATTACACGACAGGTTATACAGCAATTTTCTGCTCTGCAGAGGGCCATGAGATAGAGCACAACAAATTGAGGGGTGGTTTGAAGAAAAATAACATGTAATTCTGTTGAACAATAACGCAATAGGTTATCTCAGCTTATTCTGATCATCTCTCACTATCTTTTCTTAAAGCCAGCACAGACCCAAATATAAAACTGGCAGGAAAAACTGAATTTTGACAGAGGCTTGTGGTAAAGGGCATAAAGTGGATGACAATATTTTTGAGATTGATTTCAGTGGAATAGTATTATTATCTTAAATATCTGGCTAAAACACCAGCATTTTAATTCACTGTATGCTTCAAATCATAGAGAGGCTGGATTTTTAAGATAGTACCTTGATGCTAAAATATAAATATTTGGCTGATTTATACCCCTGAAGAAAGAACTTTATGCCCACCAATACCAGGCTGCATGGCTTAGCACAGCGTTAAGGAACCTGTGGCTCTTGGGTATTGTTCAACTTAGTAGGTCTAATTCAGCATGCCAACAGGCAGGGGTGATAGAAGACAGTCCACCATTTCAGTCCTCGTCTGCAGACCCCAACATAATTGTTTAGAGGTCAATTCAATGGATCGGATATCAGGTTGTTATAGGGTCTGAGGCACTGCCTATTAATCACATAGGTGAACTTACACATACAACAGGGGTTCCAATTTCCAGGAATGGGAAAGTAACATAAATAGAGCATCAAGTCATCTGACCACAGGATGGGAGAATTATGTTCTACTACAAAAGAAAATGTTGAGTTTGGGTGGAAGAGATAACTGCAATACAAAGATATATGGACTTTATTCCAGACAATCAAATTAGGGATTAATAGAATGCCTAATCACGCAAATATTGGCATGAAACTTTATACTGGGTCAACATGCTTTCAAATTCACCATATTCAAATATATAATTTACATTTATAAGACAGGACAATTTCATTTTTAAATGAAAGAAGATTCAAAGACTTTGATTATATACATCTTAGAAACATATCATTTCTTTTGTAATCTATGACCGCTACAAAGCTCTGTAGCAATGATGAACAAATGACAGCTAAATAGGACCAGCCAGCATGATGACTGGGGAATTCTGAGAGTTGAAGTTCACTCATCTTAAAGTTGACATGGTTGAGAAACACTCAACTAAGATGTAGTTGCTGCTGTTAACTTTTCTAGTGATGCCAAGGGGTTTCCTCCCTCTCTTTCACCAAATCCAGAACAACGTTATTTGAAGTTATTTGGCTTTTTATATATTCTCCTTCACTTAATTATCAGGATCATTTTCTCTTGAACAGGGTAATTTTTTTTGTGAAAATGTTACTGGTAAGTAGGAAGGGGATTATTTTATGGGTAACATTTTCTGGAGCACAGATTCCATTGTGGGTCAAATGTAAATGCCACTTCTTGTTGTTCAGATTGTGTCTTTTGACAAGTTTTCCCATTCCACGAAACAGTATTCAAGTGATGAATAATTTTTAACTGCTCTATTTAATTGTATAATTACTTATATTCTTATCAATGTCCATATTTATCTTTGGACAAAACATTATTTTGCATTACTACCTAAATTGGGATACAATCATTATTAAGTGACATATCCTAAAACAGAATTTCATATCTTGGTATAAACATTCAGAAAAAAAATCAATAGTAATTTTGTCATCTATTCAGGAGATTCCTATTTGTTGCTAATATATAGCATTTAATCTTCCTTTCCAAATATTAGGCTTTAATTCCAGCAATGTAGATACCGTATATATCTACTCTTTCATTTATACTTGCAAGGCCTAATATGCCACTGTGAGCAGTTAGATGCAATTACTGTCATGAATGAAGATCCAAAACTTCCACAGCAGCCTATTTAATAATCAAGATGATTCCTATCACTTTTAAATTAATAATTTTATCAATATCACACTTTCTGTAAATGTTATTTAGCTTAGGGAATAATGGACAATGATTTGCTTGCACATCTTATTCCTTTCCCTCTCCATCTCTTTACCACAATTTCAAATTTTATCGTTACTCTGTGTGTGTATTTGTATAATTCTATTGCTTTTAACTGTGTAAGATTCCCTGAGTTGTCTTATGGTGAGATTGGCAGCACATTTTGATAGATGAGATGAGGATGGGGAAGAGGGAGGGAGAGAAGGTAGAAGAGAGAGGGAGAGAGACAGAGACAGAGAGAGACAGGGGGGGGGGGAGAGAGGGGCAGAGGGAGGAAGAGAGGAGGGAATCAAAATAGCATGAATCCTACCCTTAATTCACAGTCTTCATTAACAGCTAAGTTACTGGGCTTCAGGTCCTGAATCAGAATGAAAAGACTATTAAAATAGGGTTAAATTTAAGACGATAAAACTAGTCAGTGCAGAAGTATACAAAGCATCTTATCAGTGATTGAAACTTACCCGGTGAATGATTCCAGCGGAATGAATATACTGCAACATGAAGAGAAAACAGGTAAGGTCAAAATCAGACACGGCTGAATGAACATGAGTATCAGAAACCATTTGCTTTGACTCATATTTTTCTACAAAGTAAAGTTTTAGTTTTAGGCTGCATTTGTTTCCACCCTACAAACTCATAGTGATAAATCATACAAGGACTTTGATTACATTTTAAATGGCATTTTAAAGTGCACACTCCACCACTCTTTGCAATCCAATCTAGGGGCCTTCAGAATAAAGATTGCCAGTTAGAAAACTATCTCTTCTTGGAAAACAGTACTGTAATCAGAGAAAGAAAAAGAGAGTAGAGTTTTCCACAAAAGATCCTAAATTCTTGGCTGATAGGCTTGTTTAATTTCTACTCCAAAATGCATGGAGCTTCAAAGTCTCAAAAACTCTGCAATATATAAACCTGCATATGCTGTGTCTTGTAAAAAAAAATACTCATCTTTTTCTGGAAAGCAAGAATACCATAGCATTACCATGGGAATGGATATTATTTATGTGGGTATTTGTGGGTATACATACAAAGGATATATATGGATTTCCCAGGCATTTCAGAAAAGCAAAATCGTATTTCTCAATTTGTTGTGGTCCTGCAAAATCACCCTCTTTGTTCAGATATTAGAAATTGGTCTTCATGCTTATTGCAAAGGGCTGGATTAAATTATACTTTGGATCCTTCTCAAATATGCAGTTCTATGATTCTTAGTTCTACTGCAGAGCCACAGCTAACTTCCAAACTATCACATTCAAAAAGATTTGATGTCTAAATTATCTAAACATCAGAGTATTAATTTGTCGATACTGTGCAACATAAATGCCAATTGTACCAAAATAATATAATGCATGAGGTATGTTTAACAACAATGTAATAAAGGAAGGGAAAAAATAAATTGATTTCCAAGTCAAAATATGATTCAATACACAACCACATACAATAGCACCTTCTCCATCATGGTGTTTGCCTTATCAAACAACTTTCCATGATTCAAAATACAGAATTGTAATGCTGGTAAGAACACAGGAAAATCTCAATCACAATCTCTCTGTCTCCATCACCTCTTTCTCTCCCTCCCTCCCTCCCTTTCTCTCTTCTCTCTATATCTCATTTAGAAACTGCCCAGAGTTGCTGTGTAAGGGAGACAGGAGATATGCATGATCCTGACTCTGTGGGCCTCCAGGAATGCAATGAACACTTGGCTTTTTCTCAAGCCAATGGGGCCAGGAAGTTGATGGAGCTGGCATAGTGGTTGATAGATAAATGTGAGTTTTATTGTATTAAATGGTCTTTTTATTTTTAGAGTATTGTAATTTTAGTCTGTTTGCTCCCAGGAATTCCTTCTGGTAGACGGAGAGTTATGCAAGTACATAATTGCACCATCGTGCCTCCCGTCCCTGTCCTATTGTCCCCATTTAATCGTACCTATTTTCTGTATTCTTACTCATGTTTATACTTACACCTATTATTTTGTAAGCGATTGACAAATCAAATAAATCAAAACAAGTTTGTTTAATCAATTAATTGATAAAGTAGTGTTGAAATGGCAGACTTCGCATTCAATATCTTTCCGAACTGGATCATTAACCCTGAAATCTGCAAGAAACAGCACTGCAGTGTAATTAATTTAATTTTGTAAATCAAAGATAAATAGCCACCATCCCTTGAAATAAAAACCATACAATATCTGATTCAACATTCTTGCTGTAAGGAGGATCTCAAGTACATAAGTGTGACTATTTATTCATTGGGTGTCAGCTTACATACTGGAGTTAAAATTTACCAACTGAAAGATGTATTCTCAATTCCTTCCAAATTTTTTTTTAAAAAAACCTATACAGGGTAGTCCTCGACTTATGACCACAATTGGGCTCCAAATTTCTCATGCTAAGCAAGACAGTTGTTAAGTGAGTTTTGTCCCCACCTTTCTCGCCAGTTGTTATCACTGAAGTTGTTCAGTTAGTAACATGGTTGTTCAGTAAATCTGTCTTCCCCATTGACTTTACTTGTTAGAAAGTCACAAAAGGTGATTGATCACATGATCCCAGGATACTGCAATCAACATAAATACAGGCCAGTTGCCAAGGCGCAGAAATTTTGATTGTATGACTATGGGGATGCTGCAATTATTATAATGGTGAAAAACGACCATGTCCAAATGGTTGTAAGTCTAGTGTTATTTGTAGCTGTGAACAATAAGGACAGCACAAAGAAGAAAAATGTTCCAGCCAAGAAAAAATTCCAGCGTTACCGAGACAGTCACTTTTACTTCAGTTTTATGAAATATTCTCCCACCGGCAGGGCAGGTGGATCCTACTCTACAGACATCTTCAAAAATCAGTCAGAAAGTATTTGGTCTTCAGTTTAGTTTCTCTAAACGGTATCTATAATGTGTAAGATTTCAATTGCAGGATCCAATCTGAGTTGGTCACCATTACCAGCTGATGAGGGAAACAATCTTCAAGGAACCCCTCTCTAGTGGTGCCAGTGACCGACCCAGATTGGATCCTGCAGCATTATCCTGGGACACGTATATTCTCCTTCATTCATAAGATTTCAACTGATGATCGTTATTGTTTGTTATATGAACTTTGTAATCTTGCGTTTGCTTTGAATATATGGTGTGGTGGACTGTCCAAAATCCTACTGGATTGCAGTGAATTACAAATACTTTTAAATAAATAAATGAAATGTTCCCGTGGCTTTTACCTTTAGTCCTCGAAGTAACTGATATATAAGAAACTGTATATGGTCATCTGTCAATTTTTGACACTTCACTATATTGTTCAAGTCAGCACCCATTAAATTGGTGACAAGATACCTGCAAATCAAAACCAAGATTATGAAGACATTTACAGTGCAATTCCTTGCCAACTGCAGAGTAATCCTCAGTGAGTTCACAGTCTTAATAGGGTTTTTTTTTTAATTACAGCCTTAATGGTTTTATAGACTTAATCATTTTTCAACCATAATTGCTTTTAAATTTGCTTTGAAAACTTTATTATAACTGTATGTATTTCACTAGTACAATTTAAATTTCCAGGCTGTGAATCTTACAAGCATTTGATACAACTAGGGACCGATTAATGGCCAAATCAGAAATCTTAATTGATAGAAGGAAATTAGGGGTAATTAAACACAACCGTGAAATCAAGATTCAATGGTTCACTTCTGATGAAAAGAAGATATTCCCCTGTGAGAAGGAGGCTTCTGGCTACAGATTTTGGTGGAAGTTTAAGCCAATAGTACACAAGAGAAGGACAAAGGCAAGGAAGAGTGTAACCTCCCTCACCTCTAAGAAACTGCTTCAAAAAGGAAAGGTTACCTCAAAGCAAAGGTACCAATTCCAATTCCTCTCTAACCTAGTATTGAAAACCGTCATCAGATATGACAGAAATTAGATTCCAGAAATATGTATCTGGATAGCCATAAATTTCCCACTGCTCTTATCAGGAAATATTGGAAAATATACGTTGGATCATCTAGGACAGAGGTCCCCCAACACCGGGCCACGGACCAGTACTGGTCCATGGACTGTTAGGAACAGCTGGAGGTAAGCAGTGGTCGAGCGAGCCAAAACCTCCACCACCCCCAGTATGTGGAATAATTGTGCCTCCATGGACCCATCCCGCTAGTGCCAAAAAGATGGCGGACCGCTGATCTAGGAGAATAAAATGTCAAGGTATTATTTATTTATTAATCCCAGCAAGGGACTACTAATCAATACTCTAGTTGTATAAAGTACTGGGCTATGGATTCCTAGTGATCCTTTCAAGACATATCCCAATCTTGGCTCAGAAAAGAAAACCATTATAGTATATACTATTGGAAGTAATTTACTGCTTGAGTTAAGTATGTCCCACCAATGGAGATTCTGCTCTGAGACTCAAATGAACAGACTACTGATATTTCCATGGAGCTTCTCAATTCATACTCCACAAATGGCAACTGCATGGATCCAACTTCATGAGTTTTAGGATACAAATATTTTATCATTCATAGGAATTCTTGCCTTCCCCTATTCAACATTGTTGGTTACTAGTAGAGTTTACAAGGCACTCTTACAGGCAAACCCCACCTTTTACTCCATTTCACAACTCCTGTACTGGGAAATAAATTGGCTAGGTTATTTGTTTCCTGCTTATGTAACTAGCATGTAGCAAACTCTTGCCTCAGACCACCCTAGCTTCTGGGTCAAACAAGCTGTTGCTCTTTCTCTAGTTCCACCTAACGCAGTGGCTTGTTGTGGTTCACCGGCAGCCTCTGCAGATGGCAGCGGAGTCGGACAGCGAGGAAGAAAGGAGACCAGTCAGGGAGTCTTGAGAGTGTTTGGACGAGGGTTCTGCATCTGATGCAGGGATGGGGCCAGGACCATCTGGGAGTGGGGCGCTGCCTTCAGAGCCTGGCAGCACCAAAACAGAGGACCCAGGGGAGCCGTTCCCAGTGTGCATGTGCCCAGAGAACAGCTGAAGCAGAAGGGGTGACTCAGGAGTAAGGCTGGGAGGTGATTGCCCCTCCCATAAGGGATAAAAGTCAGACCTCAATGACGAAAGCTTTGCAGGAAGCAAAGTAGTTTGATAGATTCAGAGTCCTCTTTGAAGCTCTGTGTACTCTGGTTGGTTTTTTTTTTTTTTTTTTGTAATTCGGTTGGTTTCTGTTATAATTAATTTGGATACTTCTGTTTTTGGCAGCATTCGACAGCACTGAAAGGCGTGTGCTTATCTTGGGGAACTGTTTACAATTAGTTCTAGCGGGGAATGACAGTAATTCCCAGCGTTGCAATAAAACAGGTTTTGCTTTTAAAACAAGTTTGTGTTTAATTACGTTTGACAAAGCGTGGGTCAGAATCAATTCAATATACACCCATGGCTACCACTGCTGGAAAAATCTAGCAGTAAAACCATGGTATCATGCTCTCATTGTTGCTTAAGAATGACAACTTGCTGGTCAGACAGCTTTTATTTCATACTAACGGCTCAGACATTTTCAAAATGGCCAAATGCATACTTTTTACTGAAAGCACTGAAGGTACAAGGACATTTCTTGGCAGCAACAAGAAGAGGGTTTTTTTTATTATCTCTTTTATTTATTAAACATGAAACTCAGTCAACTGAGCATTTAAAAATGTATCAAAAATACCAGTGACTAGCGCTAATGGTTGATACGGGTTGCTGCCAGCCTCCTAGGTATCAACCAAATATCTTCTTAAAATATACAATGTTCCGAGTAGCACAGTTTTTTGCAGTTCTGCTGCTATAATTGCAGGGGAATGCAATTTCTTAATGTGTTTTATAAAATTCTTGGACATGGTACCAAGTTTCATCCATAATCACATAGTTTTGATGGCCAGGTTGCGATATTTTGTGATTTTTTCCCAGTTCTTTTTTTTCAACTCTGGCGTCTCCTGGTACAGTGATATCAATACATTATACATTTGGGTTTTTGACAACTGTGATACCTGCCGTGTTGTGTTCCAAATGACAATCTGTCTGTATTCAAAAGTCCCACAAGATCTTCAGCTTCTCATTTTCGACAACTTTTTCCACTTTAGATTCCCATGACTTTTTGGATACAGGTAAGTCGTATTTTCTACATAATGACCAGTGGATTAGTTTAACAACTCAGCTATGTCTAGCTTTGTAATCAGTTTGTGCGATTTTGCTGCACTCACATATTAAATGTGAAACAGTTTCAACGTTGTCATTGCAAAGTCGGCAGTTTGGATTGTCAGTATTTTTTTTGTATCTTTGCTTTCATGGTATTAGTTTGTAGTGCTTGTTCTTGAGCAGTAAGTATAAAACCTTCCGTTTCTTTCTTGATAGTTCCCATCTTAATCCATGCCCATGTCAAGTTGTTATCACATTTTCCTTCAATGTTTTTCAAGTGCTGTCCATGCAAAGCTTTGGTTTTCCATCCATTCCATCTGTCATCCAGCTGTTTTTTCTTATATTCTGCCTTTTTTCCTGTTTTTATAATGTTGTTTTCTTTGATTCACATAGTCATTCAAACTTCATTTTTCTTCTTCTACAGTTTATTATTATTATTATTATTATTATTATTATTATTATTATTATTATT